AGGTTTTGTTCAATTACTGCTTCCATTTCAACAAGTAACGCTGTTCGGCACGTTACAGTACGGTACTGCCTTATCAGCTATCAAAATATTAAAAAATTACATAATATCAAAGAACAAACTAATAGTTAGTAGTCATTAACAATTATTGTTACAAGCTTAGAATAATTAAAAACACAAAGTAGGTATATACAAGAATAATAATTAATAATTTGTACATCAATAGTTAGGTGAATGAATGAAATAAAGAATCTAATGTTCTTTAAAATATGAATGTTCAATATCTTGTTCTTTTAAGACATTCAACTTCTTATTTAAAAACAAATCACTTAAATCTCGGGTTTCAAGTCTGGAAGGTTTTGTCAAATCATTTTTTAGATATTTTTATTTTTATTCTATTATAGCCATGCCTTTTATGATAAAAAAAACCCCTCAAATCATTATTTATAAGCTTTTAACTATTAACTTAATAACATGTAATGAAATTACATTGTACAAATTTGAATTTACCGCTCTTATTATGTTATATAACTGATAATAAAGTACCGGTTATCACAACCCTGGTGTTATCACACCATGCGTCCAATCATTGTTGAATTATTTGTTCACGCACGCATGCGTACAATCATTGTACCATTCCTGTGTTTAGACGCTCCTCTAACCAGGGGGTGGACACTTTTGGGCGGCGGGCCGATAAGAGAGAATCAGTCGGCCATGACACCGAAGGTCTACCAGTGTGTACATTTTTACGTTTTTATAAATGTTCACACTGAGTATAGTAATGATAAGTACGACGTTTTTACGTTATCGTGTTTTTTTATTTTAAAAATGGGTTCCACTTTTTTTTCAGTGAAAACTGGTCAAACTGTTCGGTTGAACTGGCCCTACTGTATGCCTCTGGTGTTATGGCCGACTGACTCAAGTAATTGTCCTATGCTGCCTATGTAAACCTTTAACAGTGTCCATTCCGATTGTTATATTCTGTGGTCCAACCAGGGGTACGAAACTCCGTGCGTTGGCCGAACCAGGCGATTACGGCCTTGAACACGGTCTTCAGGAGGGCGTGGCTTACGTGAAAACCCCCCGTCCCGTATCCCGCCCTAGTCTTGGAACCAATTTTATAATATACGGGTCTAACATCATGTTAGTGCGGGAACCAACTCCATGTTTTTCATAGGTTCAGACTTCAGATCATAGGGAACCAATACCCTAATCAGCTGATCGAGTTTCGCTTCTATACTGTTCTATGGTCTAACTGAATCGCTATAATATAAGCTCTGGAACTACTGACTGGCGCCATCTAGCGATAAATTTCCATGTAGCATTCGTCAACATTAAACGGATCTGCTAACAAATATTTTTTCCTACTACATAACTATACGCATGAGGCAATATAGTTATATACAAAACCAAGCCAATAAAAAACTAAACAAAACAAACAAAAAAGTTGTCAAAATTAGTTAAAACATAATAAATTAATGTTTAAAATGAATAAAACTGTTGTCGTTTAATAATACTCGATGATTGATAATCATAAGATTTTTACCGGAAGTATTTCTCATTTCTTGTTACGGAATAAAATATAAATACCTACCTACTTGTAAAAATTCTTAAATTATAATTTAGTAAACTAAGTAAATGGTATTACCTATATAATATTGTATAACCTTTTTAACGTTTATTCATATATTATTATTATCGCAATACTTTATAACATTTAAAACCACCAGAATCATGACAAAATAAATTCTTTTTCATAACTAGAATATTAAGTTAGTTATTAGTCTTCAGTTAACTCATATTAGGTATAAAGTATAAACATTAAATATTAAACGAGGTTAAGAGCATAGAAAAGTAAGTAAAGACGTTAAGTAGGAAGTTACTAATTTAGTACATACGAGTATACGAATACGACCGTTGCCATAGTTTGTTTTTGATTGTTGAGTTTCCAGATAAATGCAGCTAGATGGCGACAGTCGGTGGTTCCACAGCTGATTTGGAGACTTAGTTTGACGGTCTTGAAAAATGCATAATATCATAGGCTGATGTTCAACCTGTAAATGGTATATCTTAAATCGTGGTTGTCGCGACCACAATCGCGCCGTATCGTGGCCACCAATATACTGACTGCTATATGTCCGTTCGCATGTCGTGGAAGCCGCGCGAAGCTGGTACCTACTCGAAGAGTTTCGCGACTGGGACACTTTCGTTCGCAGGTTTAGGGCGACGTTCGTGCGCACGCTGCGCAAGGCGGATCTGTGGCGAGAACTTGAAAGACGAATACAGGAGCCGAATGAACTGACTATTGACTATTTTTACACCAAAATCGGTTCATGTCACTCTCTCGGTCTGGAGTTTGCCGACACTTGTGAATACGTCGTCAAGGGATTAAGGTCCCAACCTTTGACCGACTGGGTGTACGGTCGTACGCACTCCAACCGCGATGACCTGCTGTCAGACATCCGGGACTGGGAACGCATGCGTGCGAAGCGCAAAGAAAAGTTTGAGACCGCTAATTCAATGTCCACTAAGCCACGACATGTCGAACAAAAATCCGTTACAGAACCGCTGGGCCCGAAATCGACATACGTCGCGCCCGTTGTTCCGCCGAAAACGATGATCAGCGCTGTCGCTAGATCGGCGACGTACAAGGCTGAGGCCAAAATGGACGTTTCAAGAGAACGTCCGACGTTCTACTGTTTCAACTGTCGCGCTGCGGGGCATCGCCAATGACTGCCCGAAACCTCGACGCCCGATGAAGTGCTCGAATTGTGGTTCGGACCAACACACTCGAGGTCGTTTCCCGGAAAAGATTGATGAACGATCTGAAACCGCGTCTGTTACCGACCAGGCTTTTCGTGCCGAAGCGACCGCGAGTGCAAAATCGATAAACCGGTACGTAAAAACCATGAGAATCAACGGACGACCCGTTAATGGTCTTATTGATACGGGTAGTTCCGCCGTGCTGATGCGTACATCAGCCGCCCGCGAGTGTAACGTCGCTATACGCGACGCCGTGTGTCCGCTTTACACTGTTGGTAATGCTACACAGCCGAGTACCTCCACTATTGGAGAAGGCGACGCCGAAATCTTGATTGAAGGCGTGTTAGCAGCTGATCACACAATTAAGATAGTGCCGGACAGCTCAATTCCGGTGGACGTGCTGGTTGGTCGGACCTGGCTCGATTTGCCTCATGTGAACTATTTCAAACAAGGAGGAGAGATAGTTTTCGACTCGTTGAACCGCGTCCAGACCGAAGCGCTCGATACGTCGCCGTAGAGGAACCGGTCTGTCCGACGAAAGTTCCTATAACTGAAAACGACGTTTTTATCGATTCGAACGTGTCCGTCGCACAACGCGAAACGTTAGTCGCGTTGCTGAACGAATATCGCGATCCTTTCGCTAAAAACATTACGGAGTTGGGTTGTACCGATGTCATCTCTATGGAAATCATCGAAGCGCCGGGCAGTTTGCCTGTTAGTTTAAAACCGTATCAGACGTCACCCTCCGACCGACGTATTATAAGCACCACATTACACGAATGGCGAGAAGCGGGAATAATCAGCGACTCTACTTCTGCCTATGCCAGCCCGGTACTTCTGGTTAATAAGTCCTCGTGTGTTGACACACGTGTGTGGACTACCGACGACTTAATCAACAGACCGTAAATCAGCCGTATCCGATGCCTGATGTCGACTCGCAACTTGGAGTCCTATCGCACGGTGTAATATTTACGACATTAGATCTGTCCAACGGATTTCTACAGACATGATACTTACTCACCCCCGAAGCTAAAAGCAAGACTGCGTTCGTTACCGAAGAAGCGACGGTGAAATTCGGGCGCATGCGCTTCGGACTTAAAGGTGCGCCGGGAACATTTCAGAAGCCAACGACGAAGGCGACGAAGAAGCCAATGATGAATGTTACGACGAGGTCGTCGACGAGAGCGACGATGAGGTTCAGCCTGACGCTACTGATAGAAGAACAACGGGACCCGGTCGTCACGATGCCGATGGCCGCCACCGTGGAAACCGTTCAACACCGTCAATCCACCAGGAAACGACGGATACCCCCGCGGCTTAGCGATTACGAGCTCGGTCGGCCTTAACCGCGTTTTCTTTCAAGTTTATATTCCTTTTACATTAAATGCATTTATTATTTCATTTAATTATGTTACGATTTGTTTAATGTTTTTTTTTGGAGGTCTCGCCGTCAATGTCGACGCGGACTATCACTTCGCGAAATTATTTATTAAATGCGTTTGTTTGTTTTTTTATGTATCGCGATTTATACGATGTACGTACGGCGATGTCCACCCTGTACTGTTTGTTGATTTATACTCTGTACTACTAATTACTACCGTTGCTGTGTTTTTCCTGAAATATAATAAACCGTCATATTGACATATTGTTCAATTCAATTCAGTCTTCTGTGTATTAATCCTGACGCCATTAATACATAGGCCTAATAAGTAAAGTAAAACGTTCTTTACATGGCATTTAATAGCTTTCCAATCTAATACCAGTTGTATGAAGTATTAACTAATTTTACAAAGAAAAATAGAACCAGTTGTTAAATAAACCGATTTTTTAATTTCAATTTTTCTATTCTAAACCAAAACAGATTACCAAAAACAATAATAGGTAAATCAAAGAATAAATATAGTTTGTATAAAAACATAATTTTATAATTTGTAATTGTTAATATCTTACTATATATAATACACTATAAACCAAAAGCTTATATTTCCTAAGATGATACTAATATGTATGGCTAATGCTACATTCTGTAGTATGTTTACAGTCTTACAGAATAAGAATTCTATTTATTTTCTATTCTGTGGTATGGCTAAATAGTAAATAGTACAATGCCGTCTGGAATTATTGTTTTTATCGCCAACATTTAGTGATAGGCCATGTTAGCACTGGAAGCGCTAGTATCCAGTGAGTAAAAACATTTATTTGATAAGAAACTTTTCCGCCGTAATGTACCGTGGGATTGTATGAATCGTCGCTCAACCATTCTATCTAACCGAATTCAAGATTTACCTGAGATACAAAGAACTCAACAATTTTATGAAGGAGTAGTAGTCATAGATCAAATGAAACCATACATAAACATACCAGATGTGAACAGCGGTCAATATACTGAAGAAAGTGATGAAGAGCAGGTAAATGCAGTAGCTGAAGTAGAGATTCAAGTAAAGAAATCAACAGCATTGGACAAGGTACAGTCTGGGCGAAGAAAAAGAAGACCCAAGTATCTTGAAGATTATGAATAAAATGTACTATTGTTTATTTGTTTTAAGTATGTATTAGTTAACTTTTATATGTGATACTACAAGTGTTTTATTACTATTAATTACCATAAACATTTGTTTTTCTTTCTTTTTATTTTAAAATATATTTTATTTATGTTATATACAAATTAAAACTCTACTGAGGACAGAAAAGATTAGGATGGCCGAATGTTAACACTTATCAGTGTTTCCCTCCCACTACTCTGTTGTGACCTTATGAACATAGTATTATTGTAGTTAAGTCAGTTACGTCTTAAAGGCCGAACCGCTCGGAACTCAATCTTCAGTGTGTATAATGTGATAAGTTAAAGTAATAAAGTATATTCTTTCTAAATTAAGTAATTGTTGTTAATACATTAGTAAAACAATACAGAACGAATTAATTGAGTTATGTGGTAAAGAAATTTTAGACAGTATTTAAAAAAAAAATTACAGACAAGGATATCTTTTACAGCATAATTTTTGATGAAACCTTAGATGTGTCTAAACGATCACAAATTATTTTAGTCATAAGATATATTGATGAAATAACAATTAGAGAAGATTTTGTGACATTTGTTGATGCATTTGACGAAGCTCGACTTATTCAACTAAAGAGTTATAATAATAAATTAAGTGATGACGAAGAAGTAAATAATGACAGTACCTTGGATAATTATGAAAGTTATAAAAAAATAGAAGAAATATCGATAACTGGGAAAATGCTAGGGCAAATTGTTTTAAATCAACTGAGAGAAATGTGTCTGACTCTTAACAAGTTGGTAGGTACCAAATGATGGCTGTAGTGTTATGACCTTAGAAGTTTGTGGAGCTGTAGCTGAAATTATAAAAAGTTCACCGAATGCCCGTAGATGTCCATGTTACAATCATTCTCTGAATATTTCGATTTCAAAATCAAATGAAGATCAGAGTATACGAAATTTAGTTGGAATTATTAAAAAAGTGGTTGGTTTTTGTTCTGTGTCAGCAAAACGTACTGTAGTTTTGAAGAATTATATTCGCCATCAGCTAACAGGATTAATGTAAAATGAGATGGATTGAGAGGAATGCAGGAGTTACTAGATTTTTACAAGACATGCCTAAAACTATTAATGCATTAACTGAAATTACAACATGGAAAGATTCCCAAACTTCTGAAAAAGCAAAAATACCTGTAACAACACTATGTGACAGTGAATTTATTATTGCTATTTTTAGTCATTGTGCATTTGCTCAATTTCAAATATTGTCTAAGCAAAGTTTTCCAAAAAAATTTGGATTGAGTACAGCAGCAAATACTATTAAAGATACATTACAAGTTCTTTCGAAACCTCATGAAAATGTCGACACAGAATTTTCAAATATTTTTAAATTATCTGAAGACTTAGCAAAAATTATCGATGTAGAATTACGATTGCCTAAGATATGTAAGCAATAAAAAAATTGTTCAAACTATTCTACTAATAATGTAGAAGACTATTACAGAATCACGATTTTATTCCTTTATTGGATAATGTTATAGATGACTTAAAAACACGTTTTTCACAAAATACTTTAGAATTATTTCAGTTATAGTTTTTTCTTCCGTCTAATTTTTTTAAATTACCAAGTGACCTAAAAGAAGAAACTGGCAAAATAAAATCAGTTGCCAAAGATTTTCAAATATTACTTCATAATAATGAGGTATCCTCGCAATTAGTTGGTGAATACTATATTTGGAAAGAAAAATAGATACGTGAATATCAAAAGGATTCATCAGTAATTTCTAAGCACGCCATTGATGTATTATAGAATTGTGATGAAGACATTTTACTTTTGATAAATAAAATACTAATTTATTAATTACATTGCCCATTAGTAATTCTAGTTCTAAAAGAACATTCTCTTCATTGCGGCGTCTTAAAATATGGTTAAGATCAACAATGTGTGAAACACTCTTGACTGGACTTGCATTATTGAACATCCACAGGGACATAGACATCGATGTTGAAAAATTAATTGAACGTTTCTCCAAGTGCAAAAGAAAAATTTCATTTGCAATTTGAAAACCATAAGTAATAAGAAAATTAAGCTAATTTTAAGTTGTACATTTGATTACAATCTATCGTAAATTATTAACTATAGCACATTTTAGCTTAAATGTAGAAAAAGTAATGTAATTAAATATTTTATAAGCAATAAAATAAGATTGAGTAACCTAAATATTTAAAAAAAAAATTTTTGTTTAATTATTTTTTTGGTCTACTTAAAGGTAACCTAATCTTCATTATCCTGATGTCGAAAAATATTAACATATTAAACCCTGATAAACTTTATTAATAATATTTGATGCCCCCCCCCCATAAATCTGTTCTGGATCCGCGCCTAGTATACGCGTTTGCTGGAGAAGGCTAAAGGATGTGAATCGGTCAGTCGGATACAATGACGAACGAACTAAAGCACGCTTAAGGAAATAAATGATTACAGAGAGATATTTAGAAGAATAATTGGAGTAAGAAAATGGGACGTCATTAGATACTTACTGAGACATGGAAATATAATGTACTACATTTTATAGAATAATAGAACGAACAATTGATGGTAAAACAGACCTGAACATTAATCAATAGATTTCCAACGATGCGTTATCAAGCTATACACCGAGTTGAAGGAACTATAGTCGGTAAGAGAGACGAAGAGTGGATGAAAGACTAAAAAACCAACCTTAGGGTTGAAAAAATAAACAGGTAGTACCTACCTGACGATATTATTATTAAAGCCAGTACATAAAGTGGCAGCGTATAACGATTAATCGTAATCTACATTAAGACGCCTTTACACCAGCTGTGTAATATAAACTCAGTTACCTAAGATGGCTACAAGTTCGTGTTGAAATATGTCCATGATCAGCAGGTAGTGTGTTACCTTACCACTTACCAACGTATCTAGGTAGGTAATTGTTTATTCAGATTATTGAATGTAGGTTTGAATGCCTCATATAATCCACTTTAGCAACTGTGTCAGTCTGAGTGGCCGTGTAGGTAGGAAACATTGTGGTGTTCACCTTCAGCCAGTTTACCGTTAAATGTGCCTGTAAGCCTGTTCGATGTAAATAAATATTTTAGCCGTTGTAAAATGTCCGGCTACCTAGTTTGTTATTTACTTATCCATATCCTACTATTCTAGGTAGGTATATTTATACCCCAAATATCGATAAAGAATAAGTTTTCCTCGACTCTCAAGAGGTTCAAACTTCAGAGCATGAACCAAGATTAATTTTAGTTCACTTGTAAGATTACCTATAATCTTAATTCGTGGTTCAAAGTTTACTTCTTCAATTAGATAGGTAGGTAAAATTCAAATTGTCGACTTACATGCGTCCTAGAAAGGACCAACTGAGAGTGTCTGACACTATAAATCGGTCCGGAAAACTGGCATTAAATCTGGCTAACTAAATACTTAAATACTTTAAATTTTTATAAATTGTTTATTTACCTTTTTGGCTTTTTCACGATGATTGAGTTTCAATCAGGTATTAAATTTAAAATAAATAAATCGTTTTTTCGGATATTTAAACGTTGTACAATTTTAATGTTTATCGTTTTTATATTTTTAAACGTTATTTTAATTTTTTGTTTTCTGTTTAGCGTTTAGCGTTTAACATTTAATTTTTTTCTTTTTATAAATTATATTGTTATTTTTGGTATGTATAGATAGGTAATTAAAACCAAACTTTGACGTAAAAACTATCAAATTGGCAGAATTTGTTGTCCAGGATAGGTTATTTTCAATTATCCTAGGATTTTTAGTAAGCTAGGTATAACTGACAAGTTAGTGTTGGTCTAGGTGTCAAATATTCCGGGTTTTACGGGTGTAGCTTGAATGAAAGATGAAATAATAGATTAAATATAAAAAAAAATATATATAAGAATAATACAACTTAAAATGACATAATAAAGTTAATGTTATATAAGTATTTAGTAGGTATGTAATTAGTAATTACAACAAAGTAAGCAGTTTTATAGGTACACCTATCTTATTGAAATTTTAATAACAAGGATAAAGTATTTCATAAATATAAATTACTGTTAACATAGGTTTGCGAGCTTTGAATTGTTCATAGGTATAACTTATACGATTCATACTTATATATAGTCTATAGGTACAAGATTTAAAAACTATAGGTAGTCATAATGTTAAATTCAACGTAAAAATAAAGGTTAGGTAAAAACAAACGTTATCATAAACCACCAATTGGGAACCACTTATATTATAAGCTATGATGGCTAATACTTAATATTAGGTAATAACGTAGTATTACTAAATATCGGCTCCTATATTATTAGCCACAATTTTTCAAAAAACCTTTTTGCCCAGTAAGCGGTTTCCGGACCATAGTACCTATATATTTAATGACCTAACCTATCCGTACAATAAACAGAATCGATGCGTAATGATCATAGCCAAATCTGACCTATAATAACTAGTTCATTCGTCTATTACTAAATCTCAGAGGTGGTTTTGAGAGTGGAGGGGGGTTCCAGAGAGGTTTGAACCCCTAGCTACAGGTTCTGAGTAAATTAAAATTTTTTTGTTGAATATATTGAGTAAGACAAAGGTACACAGAATATGCATGTACCTAAGTAAAAACAAGTATATATTTCTCGTTAACTATATATAGTGCAAGTTAATTAAAATTATTTTTATAAAAAATGAATGGGTAAATATAATATAATATTTGTTTTATTGTATGATAATATTCTCGATAATATCATATTGGAACCCTTCCCCCTTGTCACCAGAAACCATTCAAAAAACCACCACTGTTAATTATTGCACCGATGACCTACGACCTAGGTCCTAGGTATTTGGTACCTATAAAAGTACAATTGGGGTTTGTTGTTGTCAGCAGCATCTCACTGAATACATTATTATAGGTATTATTTTTTTATTACAGTGAGTGCCGAATGAACGAACGAAACGGCGTCATGTACCATTGTTCAAAGGTCTTGCTGAAAGTGTGGCAATGCATGTTCATCGCACCGGTGACACTGCGGCGGAAACCATCCGTCGACGGCAGCGTGCAGCCTAAGTCGTACTACACGTTCAGCGTCTGGTGGTACGCGTTCAACTTGGCCGTGTTGGTCGCGTGCGTGACCGGCGGGGTGTGGGCCGTAATGGAGGACGCTCGAGCGTCCGAGACGGGCCGGTCGTTGCGCATACAGAACACGTCCTCGGCCATCGTAACCGCGCTCCAGGTGACGCTCCAGTGCTTGGTGTGCGGGCTGGCTATCACGTGCTCCGCGAGCCGGCACGCCATGCTGCAGGAAATCGAGCGACACCTAAACCACGCGGACGCCGTGCTCCGGGTGTCCACCAGCCAGCCGGCGGCGAGGTACACGCTGGCGCTGGTCACGCTCCACGCGGCTCTGTTCACCGTGGATGGTTACTTGTGGAACACGCTCAGCCCGGCCACCTGGATGTACAGTGTGTGCTACGTGTACATGCTCATCGACCTGGCCACCATGCTCATGTACGCGTTGATCGCTTGGAACATCGGGCGCCGGTTCGAGGACATCAACGCGGCGATCGAGTGCAAGCTCGCGGGCTTCCAGGCGGGCGCGGCGGCGGCGTTCGACCACAGCCACCGTGGCCGCGGCTGTCGACCCCCGCAACGGGTGTGGACGTTCGCCGGTCACACCACGGTCGTCATGTCTAATAATCCGGTGGCCACGGCCGACCGTCAATACGGTACAAGTATAATATTATAATAACAATTAACAAAAACAGTATTTATGATGATTAGTAGGTACCTAGTACGTACCTATATATTGTAGAACCTAACTATAGATATGCCTATAAGTGAGTATAATATTAGCCATTAGGTACAAAAATTAGTACCTAATTTTTTTTTCTTTCATATGGCCGTATACAGTACCATTAGTACCTAATTGCCAAAATTGACACGCTTTACTAATATTATAATATAGATAGGTAAGTCATAAGTATACTTGGGGTAAGTATCCTGCTTTGTTTTGTTGAATTTAATAAAATAAATTAAGTACAATAGTTTTTCAATAATTGTTAATTTATTTTTACTATGTTTAACTTGGTAGTTGGTACCTACTGAAATGAGGGTATAATATAACTCCCCCCTGGTATTTACATTATACCAATATAAACCTGCATGCGGAGGACGCTTGCATTCTCTGTACCAACTACCAAAGGTCTATAGATATTTTGGAAAGAAATTATACTTTAATAAAGGTATAGGTCAAGTTTAAGTCCACTTAACAAAAGAAGTTAGCCTTTCAAAGTAGATACCTAGTGATCATAGCCGCAAATAGCGTTTGAGATTTGAAGGGGGGGGGTGGTGGCTGAAACCCTACTATAATAATATTGAAGAAACTAAATACAATTTAGGAAATGTTGGAGGGAGCTATTGTATTTTTTTGGGAGTGTGCTTAGACCCTAAAGCCACCCTCCCTGTTTGCGCCTATGATAGTGATACATACATATAGTAGTATACAGTAGCTAAATCTACTCTTTCTTTAGTCTAACACCTCACTTCACTCCTATACTTTAATGTAGGTATTAAATACTATT